GTTGTGTCCTTCCCATTGCCTGTGTTTCTCTTTCATTCCGGTTTCTTCCCCAAAACAGACATATTTTATTCTTATTTTTAATTTAAACTTAACTTAAAGAGAAGATTGAGTTCTGCTTTATAGTGAACAAATTATAATGCAACTTTGTCATTCTTCATTTATCAGTTTGAAGTGATACCGTTGTAGAAATGTCCCCTGAAAAGGCTTCTGATTCAAATGCCCTCATAATGGAAATCGATGAGAATGAATTGACATTTACATTCTTGTGTCTTACCCCTTGCCAGTGTCTCTCCATCATGCCAGATTCTCCCCAAAATATGAGTCTCATATTCTAAAAATTAAAGAGATGATATACTTCTAGACATGGCGAACATATTATGATGTGAGTTTCCTCATTGTTTGTAGATGCGTTTGGAACTATACCAGAGTAGAAATTTCCTGTTAATTAAAATGCCTTTCAAATGCCCTTCAAATGCCCTCATATTCAAATATGATTAGAAATAGCTGAAATATTGGAACCAACATTTAATGCCTCACATAAGTGTGGTCCCATATACCCATTTCTAAGTGCAGGTGATATAATTTTCAGAAAGACTGAATCATTTTCTTATCACTCTGATGATTGCAAAATATCAATTAAGTATACACCAATTCACATGTTCTACATAACCAACGTTTTTTCAGTTGATTCAAGACAGTTTGTTTCACAGTGTGATCACATGACCAATGCTCGGCTTCTTCTTTAAGACCTGTTTATCTCGAGGCTTCGCGCCGTCATGTGCAACATTCTCTCTAAAAAATCAATAATATTCATCTCACGTTCTTCCAATATTGAAAAGTGAAAGGTTGCTGCCTTTGAAGTCTAAAAGAATAAAAGCCAAATAAAAGCTAAAATTAAAATGACTGTGCATGCTTTGCATCCAGAGGTGAATAAATGCAAATGTTATTTGCACCTTTTTTATGAATGCGCATTTGTTATTTGCTGCTAATCTTGCTTCATGGAACGCACATGAAGGTTCATGAGTTCTGATTTCTGAATTCTAAGGATAGTATTGGTATTGGCCTTTTAGTGGGTGTTATAAGCTTAAGCTTCCAGCTACATCAATTTGAGCTGGCTCAGTAATATTTATTCCATAGATCATTAAAACAATTAAAAGAAAAACCTATGTATTTCATTAAAACAATTGTTCAATGCAGTATTTATGAATGATTTCTTGTAAAGTCCTAATACACATTAAAATATCAATAAATGAGGGAAAGAGAAAGGGTGAATTCCAGATGTTTGAAGTGGAGTTAAACCAATATGTGCCGATAGCACACAGGAAGTCTTGTTTTACATGAAGAAAAGATTTTGCTTTGTATTTGAAATTCCTGCCTTGGAGAACATATTCTGGGTTATAAATAATAAATTTGATAGCACCTTAGGTAGGGATAGAGCAAAAACATTTAGTGATATTTCAGAGTAACAAAAATAGCTCTACACAGCCTAGAAAGGTGATGATTTCTGCATTAAGGCAGTCATGCATTGCTTGATGTGGCGGTTGAATTCACCTGCATGCTGAAAGATAAATCAAGGGGTGTCCCTCAGGGCGAGATTTGTGGTACTCTATTGCTCTTCAATCTCAACCGCTAATATGTTCCCACCTGAAGTTTGCTCTTTCGTACTCATGGTATACATTATTGATGGCATTCCCATGGTATGTTCCCTCTTGCATTGTGCTCTCCTAGCTGTTTAACACCTACGCTACTGTCTCTACATGGTTGTAGCTGTTTCACATTCATGATTCCCTTGTTCCTTATAGATAGCATTTGTCATGAAATTCTAGTTTCAACACATTTTTTTAGACTAACCTCCATTAAACAGGCATCAGAAAGTTAATCCATGACCTTTCACAGATTCCCTCTTTCCTGATTAAAACAGTCTTCATTTTCTACCCTCAATTTCATTATGAATTTTGTAGCACATATATTTAGCTCAATATGGTTTTGCTTTAAAAGTTGGTTTGTTGCAATATCAAGCATGTTAAACAAAATGTGCCCCCCCCCCCAAAAAAAAAAAATAAAAAATAAAAAAAATGAGCAGGCACAGTGTGTTACAATATTCTGAATATCCGGTATCTGTGTTAATTGAATAAATAACATGTCTATCATAACAAACCAGTGTTTGACTCTCTATTATCCTGAGTTATCTACCATTACTATTAAAGACCCTCAAACTCATCATGGTGGGTGGCAGTGGTGGGATACAAACCCACGCCGCTGTCAATCTTTCTAGTAAAAATCTTATTTTTAGAAAAGTATTAGAGAAAATGCTCTAATATGAAAAGGTCCATCTATCTTCTATTATCACATTTCCTCCTATCCTGTCCCTCATGGCAATGAGATGCATTTGTGATGAGAATTACACTTTACTCCTCCAGAACGGATGTTCATGGCTTTGTGATAAATCTTTACCCGAGAGAAAAATCCACATTTGGTAGCAAGGTGATGTTTTCCATGTAATTCTTGCAGTGCCTTTCAGTCAGGTTTCTTTATTTGACATTTCTGCCTTCCTTTAGGGCAATTTGGTTTATGCCAATGTAATTTCTGCGTTAGAATATTGATTGTACCATTAATCCTGCTTAAGATTGTTGAAGTGGTTATTTCTAGTTTTTGTTTGCATATCTTCAGAAGAAAAAATATCTTTGGAAACCATAAGTTGGCTTCTATAAAAAGAAATAATGGAATGACGTGTTTCTTGATGGTGTATAGCTGTCCGTTGTACATCTTCTTTTAGGAGGATGATGGTGTTGGTGTGGGAGGGGTTCAAGTAACAAAGGAAAAAGTATTACTCTTAGCTCATGGCTTCAATTAACGTCTATTTTTGGTAGTCCTACGTCTACAGCATGTATAATGTATTCAATATTGACAGACTCTTCTGTGCATGCATGCATGCATTCTGAGCAATTATTCACAATAAAGTATAGAGAAGTAAGTGCGTATTTAACTTGTCATTTCTCATTACTAGTAGAGGCTTATAAACTCTCTTTCTCTTCCTCCATCTCGATACCATGCCAACCATCCTGTATTACACAACGACAATTGATTTTTATTCACTGTGCAATTGAGAATGCCTTTTTCCTGTTTACTCGCCACATTTAGCCCATTGTCGTGGTATTCGATTCATTTGTAGTTGTGAAAAACCTGTTTTGTGGTCAGTTTATCTAACCTAGATATGAAGTGACTGATGTATCGCCTTCTACTTGGAAGAAGGGAGTTAAAGAGAAGGTTGAGTTCTGGGAAGAGATGAAAAATAATTTGTGAGCGTGATCATTGTTATTATGCAAGTGTGGAAGAACATTCGATAAAAAATGTTCCCTGAAAAGCATGGCTCTTCAAATACCTTGATATTATAAATATGGCATGTAACATCAATAAAATCAGGACAGATTTTTATGCCACATGTTTATGTAGTGCCATATCTTTCTGTGTACAGTGCTTGTAACTTTAACAAGACTCGGCCAAATTTCTTATCACGTTGATGATTCTAGAACCTTACAGTACACACCAATACTTATATGCTACATGTAGATGATCAACCTTTTCTGATCGATCTCACAACATTTCTTTCACCATGCAATCGCATGACCAGAACTGGTCTATGCCTTTAAGTGTCATCTTTTATTGTTAGGAAGGAGGGAGTTAAATCTATGTAAAAGAGTAGGAGTTATCTCTTTTCTAGCCTTCAGCAGGCAGTATGATCTGTCTTTGTGATTGAGAATGAAGAATGATATCAAAAGGATAAACTTGAGCATGTATTTACAGATTAGTTGAGAGCAAGAAGGGTGTAAACTCTCTTGAATTATAGGACTGAATTCCCTTTTAGCTCTTAAAGGTAAAGGCCAGTTATGGTCATGCGATTGCATTGTGAAAGAAAAGTTGTGGAATCGATCAGAAAAGGTTGATCATCTAGCATCTAGCATCTGCAAGGTTCTGGAATCATCAAAATGATAAGAAATTTGGCCCATTCTTCGTAAAGTTACAAGCACTATACACAGAAAGATGTATATGGGACTACCCTATATCTCTCACAGACCATGAGAGAAACAAATTTACCAAATATATGAATTAGAATTAGAATATGAATTGCCGGTTTCCCGGCAAATTTTTTATCATCATGTATTAGTCAAAACATATTCTTTCACATGATTGGTAATGAGAGCTTCCATTTCATTTTTTGAAATTGGGGCGTTTCCAATACTGGTCTTTACCTTTAACAGTTGGTATTGTCCGTTTGGGGCCAGAACGGCGTTAACTCATATACTTGAACACAGAATTAACATCCTTATGGCTCTGAACAGATGATTTGAGGGCTGTGTGTGATGGAGGGTGAAGGGTAAACTTGAGAAAGAATTGTATGAACGAAGTGAAAACCTTACACAATAAAGAAATGCAGACAGGTTTAAATAATTCCAGAATGAGAGTGGCAAGTATAGACCGATATGTGAAGAATAGTTACCACTACATTTGTAATGGTAAAACTATTCCTATTTTTCAGTCTTTCAAAAATCATACTCTTAATCTTTATTTTAGTGAAATAAATGTTGATTGTTATGATATTTCTTTTTAATTGCAATTTCCATTTGGTGTTTGTGCAGATGAAGGCTGCATAAATTGCCACCTATGTGCAGTCATAATCCAGCAGTGGGCCTATATATTTGTTATGATTATTAAAATGTTTGTCCCTTAAGTAAAGATAAAATAACTGGCAGAAAATCCCTGTGTTTTTTCAGTCTGTAGAGATCAAGGTTGAATTTGAGCAAATTTGATTTATTTGTGTTGCAAGATATGTGGTATGCGGGATATAACAGAATTATCACATTTGAGAAAATGTGCGTAAGAGATTTTGTGTTATAATAGTATTAAAAAATGTTGATGTTGTTGCTGTTTTTTCTTTACATTAGAAACATGTACATGTAAGTTTTGACTAAATATCTGTGTCTTTTTTTCTTTCTTTATAGGAGAAACGTAGTCTGTCCAATCATCGATGTAATTAGTGATGATAACTTTGCCTTCCATACTGGTTCTGATATGACGTACGGTGGTTTCAATTGGAAGCTACAGTTCCGCTGGTATCCTGTGCCACAGAGAGAGGCTGATAGAAGAGGAGGTGACAGGACAATCCCTCTCAGGTGAGAGTCTTTCACAAAATATCTGTAATATTTCCTCAAATATCCTTAGTAGAACTTTGCTCAAATATCCTTAGTGTTTCCTCAAATATCCTCAGTATTTCCTCAAATATCCATAGTATTTCTGAAATGTTGTTTGTATATCCAAAGATAGCCTCAGTATTTCCTGAAATATCTTTTGTATTTCCTGAAATATTTTTTTTTTTACTAAAAATATCCTAAGTATTTCCTTAAATATCCTTTGTATTATCTCAAATATTCTAAGTTTTTCCTAAATGTCTTTCCTAATTTTCTTTAAGATATCCTCAGTATTTCCTGAAATATTGTTTGAATTTCCTAAAAAATATCCTCTTTAGTATTTCCTAAAATAGCCTCACTATTTCCTGAAATATTCATAGTATTTCCTAAAATATCATTTGTATTTCCTAAATTATCCTCAGAATTTACTCAAATATCCTTTGTATTTCCCAAAATATCCTTTGTAATTACTAAGGCATCCTTTTGTCTGTAAGGTAGCTCTAATTCTAGTATACCAACAGCCCTGGAGCCCGATTTCCTACAAGACTGACAATGTAATAATAGTCTGTTGAATCCTCTAAAGAGTTGTTATTGTCAGAGGGTAACCTCATGAGTATCATTAATGCCCCTTCTTTGGGCTCTGCAAGTATTAGCTCAGCATTGCCAGGTACACTTTCATTCTCTGGGTTAAGATGGAGAAACATGGGCTAAAAAAAACACACCTTGTCCAAGGATGTATTATGCACTGAGTGGAGGATTGAACCCTGGACCTCTTGTATGAGAGCCTTCTACCATGAATATACCACAGTGCTTCATTCCATAAATCTTGTAATATACGTCTTGTAATATATGTCTTGTAATATACGTCTTGTAATATGTGTCTTGTAATAAACGTCTTGTAATATACGTTTGAATTAGATCACATCTTGTAAGCATGATCGTACATGTACCTTGGCTGTATGTATATACATGAAAGCACTGGCTGAGATGCCATTCCTACTCTCCATGTTCACATACCAACATGATTGAGGGGAAGACCTGTATTCATTCAGGTCGGCAGAGTTCACTTTGGGGCGCATGACGGCTCGCAATCATCCTATAAATATCTCACGGCAGTCGTGCATTAGTCTTAACAACACAGATTCTGATTTGACACTCTAGGATAGATGATGGCAGCTTATGCCGGGCATACATCAGTCTGCTGGCAAAGACTCAAAATTGATATATTGGGCTGCATGAATGGAAAGCTGGCAATCAACCTATCATTAGGGACTTAATTAGTCATGTGTTAGTCTAAATGCACAGATTTTAATTTTACACTCTATAGGCTGGCTGCATTTAGCTTGCAATCAGCCATCAGAAGTTGTACATTAGTCTGCAAGTGCAGACTCTAACTTTATATTCAAACAAATGCATCAAGCTCAAACCAATTTAGCCAGCTAAGTGAAATACTACTAATAATATTGGATATTTATATAGCACACATATCCACCATGCATGGTGCTCACGGCGCTCCAACATTACCCCGGCTCTGCTAGGCAATGGCATTCAAGGAATTCCTTCCTACCGGTACCCATTTAACACCTGGGTGGAGAGTGGTAAATGTTAAAGTCATGACAATTCATAAGCTGCAATACTTCATAGGTCATTTTTGTGCATTTTTTCCCTTCAGTATACTAAGCTTCCTATGAAAAGTCATTACCCAATGTTGTGCTATAATTTCAGCTTTGCTGTGTAATGCTATCTGTGTCGAATATTACTTGTATGGTAAAATAATTTTCAGAATACTAACCCAGATATGCCATACCAGGCATAATGCATCAAGACTTGGAGGTGATTGTGCCTGTATAAACTATAGATAACCAGTGTCTGAACTGCAAGACTATATAGATTGCATTTCATAGGCCCTGTAATGTACAGCTTCTTTTGACACAAGCGCTAGTGCCCTTAGGTAAGGCATTAATTCTCATTACCAGGTCCCTCGGAGAGGACCTAAAGCCGTCAGTCCTCTGGTTCCTTACTAACAAGCATTTATGCTTTCTTAGCAGTCAGGTAAAATAACCACCACTTAAACAAAAACAGAGACTGACACAGTTTGACTAGACTCAAGGCCCTATGGAATTGTATGTACGTGTCTGAATAAGAGTCTGCATCTTCATACTAGTCATGCACCTGTGCATGGGGGTGCGTTTGGTTTGTGTGTCCAGAGAACGTCTGGAGAGGAGCGCAGAGAGTACATCCCCCAGTCGTAAGCTGATACGTGCCCCCTCCACTCTTTGACAATGGTATTTGGATTCAAAACATCCTTTTTCACCTGCCCCGATGCAGCTCTGATTCTCGCAGTATCTAGAGACACCGCCGGCAGCCCTTTGCACTTTCGCAGCAGTCAAGTCTATGGGTCTCCTATTAAAGGCAGTGCATACATTTTTAGCTGCCCAAGAATATATATTGCCTCACCCATAGCAGTTCAGAGTTATCTACAATATAACTTAGTGTAAATGAAACAGCTTGTCTTCAAATTGGCAACACTGATGTGTATTTTCCACTTATCTACATGTAGTTTTAATACAAACTAAAAGTGTATATTGAATGAAATACATGTAGTGTGAATGAAAAGTACAAACAAATTGGAGAGAGTCTCACGCCACCACGCTCATACTCCTGCCACCACGCCCTTCCTCCCGCTCTCCCGCTTCGATGTAAAATCTCCCAGTTTATGTAAAAATCTCATGCCAAACATGGTAACTACAATTTCATCTTCTTTTTTGTTTTTGCTGAAGGAGAGGTGGGGGGGGGGGATGTTAAGTAAAAATATATATATATATATATATATATTTAGTGCTCACTATTATTATTATTATCAAATTCTGCTAGTAGTGTTAGACTGTTAGTTCATGATGATGATGGTGATCCAAAGCATTTGTATGGCGCCATTTACTGTATCTGTTTCAAAAACTCAATGTTCAACTGCTAAGAGCCATGCAGAAGGAGGTTGAGTCTGTATTCAAGTGTACATGGAGGAATCAATGCCCTTTTGGCTCTCAACAGATAAGATATTCCTTTGAGGGTTTTCGCCCGTAATAAATTTGTGAAAGACGATAGCCCTTGAAATTAAGCGTTCCCCTCAATTTGTTACCCAAATTAAACTTCCTAACAAGACCTGATTTGCAACATCAAGATTGTGTTAAAGAGAAATCCAACCTTGATAGTGAACTGCTCTAGAAGAAAACAGAGAACCATTTGTTTCAACACACAAACTTGCTAAAATTTCAAATTTTCAAAAATTTATGAATCAGGAGGGTCTTTTCTCTTTGGAGGACCTATAATAACATGCTGTTCATAATATATTTTTAATAGTGTCCCAAGGGAGAAGGCATGTACAAGAAAAAGAAAATTAGTGATGTTTTTTTACACAAGAAATGGGAGAGTTGTTTGTGTCTACTCCATAATCCATGGACCTAATTGCTAATCTAAGATTTGCGATAATAGTGATTTCAAACTTTCACGTCTGATTTATTTCAAAGCTTCATCATCTTTTTTATCTTATTTTCCTGCTTTCATGCAAATGAACTTATTACAGGGGTTGGATTGCCCTTTAAGGAGACTTCAGAGACTCTGCATATTTTGTCTGACCATGTTTACACTTGGGAAATCATTGCGTTCTTCTTTACGTCCCGTCGGGAGTGATAGGAATCGTGCGGTAATCAAAAGTGCAGGCAAAACTGAACAGGGAGCGTGAGGGGTCTGCGGTGTTCCCGAGTAATTGCGCTATATCTTGTGCAGTCAGGCCCGTAATGCAATTATTCACGAAGCACATGAATGTCATTCTCGCATAGTATTGCAAGGTCCTTGTGTGATATTTTATACACTGGGCGTGAGCCGCTCAGAATGATGTATAATAAGTTGTCTTTTGAAAATATTTTTGTTGTAGACCTGGTACGTGTGTCTACATTAATGTGTGGAAGTAGTCAAATTACATTAGCTAGGCCTCAGTCTGCATGTAGTCATTCTAAATGATGCCTTTCTAATTATGGATGATAGTGAGATATTGTACTGCTTATCACCAAAGAGCTTCATTGAAAATTAAATTCCTTTTAATTTTGAGTATCAGAAAGCACCTGTTTAGCTTTTGGCAATGCATGGAAGAATTAATCCCAAATAAGTTTTAGTTTTAAATGAGCTTTTTAAAGTATATTTGTAAGTCTTTACATAAATCTCTCCTCATGATAATTATTTCAAAAACATTTGTATACATGTAATTCATCTATCTTGCCTCACCCTTGAAACAAACAAGCAAAAAACACAACAAACGTACAAAAAGGCTTCCAAGGCATTTCATGCACAGTGTATATTAGTGTAACACTTTGATTACCGTAAATTGCCTTTTAAGTTGAGGTTTGTTTGATTTTTTTAATACTGATCTTCAACTTTCCAAATCCAAATTGCTCTGTGTCAATATTCCACGTTTTGAAAGCAATGTGAAAGAGAATTTCATGTTATCGAGACATTTGCTCTCTATTTATACTGCGTGAAGAAATGCTCATTGATATGCATAGCTTTGTAAATCCGATTCTTAACGGCTTGTAGCTCCTAATTGTGATAGCTTTCTGAAGCATTAAAGGTACATTATAGTGTCAGTCATCATTTCAGATAAGTGAAAGGGATTCTTCTTAAGATATTGTGAAAATATTGTCTGCTGAGAGCCAGGAGGGTGAATTGTCCTGGAAAGTTATATATATATATTTACTGTAGGCCTATTTATAAATTGTTTTTTGAAAAAATTACAAACAATTATGTTTTTCAATTAAAATTGTGATTTTAATTAACCACAATTGCATTGAAATTTATATCAAAATGTGGATAAGTAAATTTGGTTTCATATGACACCAAACTCAAGGTGGTTCAAGGTTTCCTTAAAACATTATTTACAAAATACTATTTTTTATCAAAAGGGCCCTTTTATGGATGCTCCCTCCGATTTAGGG